ACAAAAAAAACAACACATCAATCTCAAGCTGGAGCAACTTTCTTTTTCAACCCTAAAAGCAGATTCCCCCATGCAGGCAGGAGGCACGTGGCTGGTGCAGCAAAGGCAAAGATGGAAGAAAAAATGTTTCGTTTTGAGACCTTGACACAGACAAAATGACAAGAAGTAAAAAAAAGAAAAGAAAAAAAAAGAGCACGTTGTTGGCTTTCCCCCCCTCTTCTCTTTAAGCACTACAAAAACAGGAAACAAAGGAGAAAACATCTCACGGGGGGAAGGGGAGGTAAGCACTTTATACGCCCACGAAAGAAAGATTAACCACATATTTTATTTACTGTTTGTATTACGGTTGCACCGTGGAGTTCAACTAATTCTGAGCCAGAGCTCTGCGGGTTTGTGCAGTGCCTAACGCTGAGCAGGGTCCTTCCCCCAAACCCACCAAGCGCACGCCTCTGCTTCAGGCAAACCCTGCACAGACACCCTCTTTCCTCCCGCAGACACCTCCTGCCTACAGCCTCTTTCCCCCAGCATGAGCACTCTTGCCCTAACTGCCAGCTCACAGCTGACAAAGCGCTGGTATTGTCCCCAAGGAATTCTGAGCCCCTTTTCCCCTTCAAATCAGCCTGTAACTGGGGGTAAGGTGCCCTTTGAGACATCTGGCAGCACAGCCAGAGGAATAAATGCTAAAAAGGAGAGTTTATAGGGAGAATGTTTGCAGGCTCCGGTCCCTCCTCCGGGCTATGGGGGCCACCACCACCACACCAGGTTGATGTTGCAACCCCCATGCTGGCAAGTCCCCTGCACCAAGGACAGGGCTCTGAGCCTCCCAACTTTGACTCATTTCTCAATTAACGGCTTTCCGAACGCAAGCCACACATGGAACAAACCTCTCACAATGGGGCCTCCCCCGGACCTCCCAAGCCCAGTGTTACTCATCTGACCCCCAGCCCCAGCCCTTCTTTCCCGGGATGCTCCAAGTGTGGCTCACCGCTGCCGCAGGGTGAGCAAGCAGCCAGGAATCCCGGGCCTGGCTCCCGCAGGCGGGAAACTGTCACCAGCTGAGCTCACGCACCCTAATTCGGGAGCCGACGAGGCCACCTTCCTTGCTGGCTGGCAAGGGGTGGCTTTCACCCAGAGACCTGGCCAAGGCCATGGAGCAAGGGCTGGCAACCTGCTGGGTGATTTTCCCAGGGGATCAACCCTACTCTAGCTGCTTCATGGAAGAACTGCTTCAACTACAGGGGGGATCCTTTGGACGCGTGGTCCCCCAGCTTCGTGTTGTCCTTCACTGCCCCAGACTCCGAGCACCCAACCGAGCCACGCGCCCAGCGGGAAGAGACAAGTTTATCATCACAGAGAAAGGAAATTAAGATAACGTGGCGATGGAGGTACCGAGGGATTTGGCCAAGGTCACAAAATAATTCTGCGGCTCTACAATACAGCTGCCCGACACTTTTGGTGTCTGGCCACATATCCTAAAATTTCAAGCCAGGGCCAAAATCCAGTCTAGCTGGTGGCAGCTTTCTGCCAGGTCATTAGCAGTGTGCATCCGCAAGAAGCGGCGAATATCCAGCCATAACAACGGCAGCAGCAACAAAAAAAAAAAGCCACGCTGCAAGATCGGGAACAGATGAGATCGAAGTGTCCTGGAAAAGGACCTGGAAAAATAGTTTTGGTCCCTGGCTAAAGCTCCTGGGAGATGCACATGCGAGCCCCATCCCAGCACCGCGCAGCCCTCCCGAGGTGGCTCCCCACCCTGGCAGAGGGAAACCAAAATGACTCCCTATAAATAGAAGCAGAAAAGCGCTTCTCCAAAAGCCTGACTGGGTCTTTCCCCTTCCAGCGTGTGTGGCGGAGCTGCTGGCATCTCTGTGGAGGTCTCTGGTTTTCCCCCAAAAAACCTGGAGAAGAAAATAACCTTCCTGTGAGCTCAGGCTGGCTCCTCTGCACAGAGCTGCCGCCCCCCCCGCCCCACTTCCAGGCCTGGCCATCCAATTGGAAAGTAATTATACTGCAATTTTTATTTATGACTTCTTCTTTTTTTTTTTTTATTGCTAAATGGTGACTCATTTTGGCAACATTAAAATACACAGGAAATCATCCCCATTTTACAGTAATCACCATTCAATTCATTGTTAAATATTTATTCGGCAGACAAGCGCCGGGCCTCTTTTGAAGGGTCAGAGAGGGAGAGGAGGGGCAACCCTGGACAGGGGGAAGGTGGTAGTGGGGTCATGGCAGGGCTGCCTGCAGGGCTGGTAAATGCCCGCCAGGAACTGGAGGGTGGGGAGCCAGGGGTGAAAGCTCCTGCCAGATGGCCTTGCCATAAGCAAAACACAGACTCGCTTTCCCTCAAATCCAGCACTACGGCCCATGCTGTTCAAGGGAGGAGGTGCAGCCCTGTGCCCCCTAATAAAAACCCCATTATTTGTCCAAACCTCAAGCTTGAATCTCTATCAGTGAGACGTCATGGGTCTCTGACACGAAGCTCTTCCATTGCCGGGGGGAAGGGGATGGCAGCCACCGGCCCCAGTGGGAGGCGGTGGGAAGAGCAGGCAGTTTGACATTCACAGGCCTTACAATGGACGGGGTCCGCTCCTGCGGCCGCTTTGTCCTCCCAGGAAGCCCAATTTCGAGGCGACTTGACCTCAGATGCAGGCAGCTCCTCTGCCTTCCTCCAAACGGCTGCACAGCCCAGCAGGACCCTGGGAGATGACCCCTCCAGACCCCCCTGGCCCAGGACCTCAACCCTTCACTGCATAGCCCAGACCCAAGCGGCTGTAGGTCCTACAGCTCAACAGCCACAAAGGCCTCCTGCCGCAGATCCCCTTCCCTGGGGAGCCCTCCTGGCACCCATAGGCTCTGTCACTGCTTGGCTGGGGAGGCCACCTAACATGTCTGCCGTGGGGGGACCGGGTGGAGGAGGAGCAATGCCAGGGTGGGTTTTGTGTAGGTCCTACACAAGCACAGGAGAGCAGACTCGGCAGGGGAGAGGGTAGCCGGATGCCCCTGGGCTGGGCAAACCCGGGTGTCCAGAACAGTCCGACTCACCCGGATCTCATTGCGGCGGATCTCCACGTCGCACACCGAGTGTCCCTGGTGGGCCCCGCTGTAGTAGCAGCAGAACTGGCAGACGGCCACCTGCTCGGCCTCACAGTGGTACAGCCGGTAGGCGTTGTGCTGGGGGCAGCTCCAGGCCCGCACGTCCTCTGCCTCCACCAGGAGATGCCCCCGGGCCGTGGAGGGCTGCTGAAGGTGGGTCTGGACATGGGACTGGCAGCATGGAGCCTCGCACCTCAAACAGATCTTCTGTGCAGGCAGCGGTGGGCCCCGGCGGCAGAAGACGCAGTGCAGGACTGAGGGGGGCTTCTCCAGGTTGAGGGAGTTGAACTTCTCCACAATGTTGGTGAGCTTCAGGTTCTTCTCCAGGTTGGGCTTTTGGTTGTAGGCCTGGTTGCACTCCGGGCACCGCACCAAGCCCGACTCCTTGGCCCACGCCTCCCCGATGCAGCCTCGGCAGAAGTTGTGCTTGCAGGGCAGCTGGACTGGCTCCACAAAGACGTGAAGACAAATGGGGCAGATGAGCTCCTCTTCGAAGCAGTTCTTCCAATTCTCGGCCATCTCTGCCGACAGCTCTGGTGACACTTCCCCCGAGCCACTTCGGTCGCTCAGTGCGGTCTAGGGGCGGACGCTGGGGTCTGTCCTCCCTGCAAGGGGAAGGCTGAGGGTGAACGGACAGGCTCCCCCCTCCCCGCAGCACGCGCCATAAATAATAAACCGCAGCAGATTTTAAAATCAGGGATAAAATAAACCACAGAGCAGCACTCTAGGAATATCCGGCAAGAAAATGCGACGTCCCTGTCGCTTTGTTAAAAAAACAACACAAACGGTTAAAAAACCCCAACACGATCTTGTTGGACTTACAGCCTAAAGTCCTAACCACCCCTAAAAGCCATTTGCTCCTTTTTACCCCAGAAGGTGAATCGAAACTTACCAAAGGTTGAAAAAAATCCATACAAAATCCAGCAGCAGAGTCCAAGTTCCATATAAAGCTCCTAAATTTAGCGCTCCAGATCAGATTTTTCTTTTCTTAGGTTTGCAACTGACATTCAATATTTTAAGGGGACTTTTGTCCCCCACCAAACCTGGCCAACAGCTCAGGGCACCGACTCGCTCGGGCTTTTTTTTCTCCCCTGGATTTCTCCTCCCTCTTCCCCTGATGGGAGTTGGGAATCAGAGTCTTTTAAAGGAAACAGATCAAAGGGTTAAGATCCAAAATGGGAAAAGGAGGAAGATTAAAAAAAAAATAATAATAATAATAGCGACGATGACGATGGCGGAAAAACGAATTCTCTCCGCGGCCCCCGAGATTTGCTTCTAAATCGGAGGAGCAGCAGGAAAAAAAGGAAGGGGGAAAAAAAAAAGATAAGACAGAAAAAAAAAAAAGGAGAAGAAAAAAAGCCCTCTCGCCTGCTTCGAGATTGCGAGGTCTTGAATGGGAGAGCTCGGTCATTCAGAGCAAACCCCAGCCAAGCACAGCCCGCCCAGCTCCTCCGACGCTCCCGGAGAGGGATGGGAGAGGGGACGGGCTTTGCAACGGGGGGATCTGAGCCCCGCGGACCCCAAATCAACCTGCTCCCACTTCCCACCGGGGCTGGGGAAAAAAAAGGGCGCCCGGGAGGGTCCGACCTAGCCCGCTCTCATGGCCAGGCGGGGGGTCGCAAGCCCCCGACGGCAACAATGCGCTGGGACGCGGGGACGGTACCCGAGCCGCCGGCGGAGCGGTGCCTTCCCCGGCGCGGCCCCGCCGGGAAGGAGAGAGGCGGCGGCGGGCAGCCGGGAGGAGCGGCCGGAGCGAGCGGTTCCGGGAGAGCCGAGTCAGCTCTCAGCCATCTTGAGCTGCCCGGCTGGAGAGCGGAGACCGGGGGCGCGTTAAAAATAAAATAAAAAGAAATTAAAAAAAAAAAAAAAAAGGTTTTCTTTAAAAAAAATTATAAATAAAGTCACCGGAACAACCCCGCTCCCGGGAACCGCCTCCCCTGCCCGCCTGCCCGCCCGGCGAGGCTCTGCGGAGGGGCTGCGGGGCCAGGCGAGTCCGAGCCGAGCCGTCCTGTCCCGTCCCGGCGGGGCCGATCAGCACAGCCCCCCGCGCCCGCCCCCGCCGCCTCCAGCCATCTTGGGGTCGCCCTGGGCGCCGGAGCCCCACGCCCCGGCTTCCTCCCGCCGCCCCCGGGGAGGCGGCCGCGGCCGGGGGGGGGGAACGAGGAGCGAGGCGGGCGGGAGCGCGGATCCTCGCAGCGGGGAGGGGAAGCGGGGGCGGCGCCTGGGAGGCTGCCGGGCTCAGCCCCGGCGCTGGGGGCCGGGGCGGCGGCGGGGGGCGGGCGGGGCGGCCATGGGGGCGGCGGCCGCGAGGGATCGATCAACCGGGGGAAGGGGGGCACGGACGGGCGCGCCACGCCCCGGCGCGCCGAGGGGCCGCCCCGCTCGGGAGGCGGCCGGGGTGGGCGGGCGGAGCGGAGGCGCCGGTGCCGGTAGGTCCCACCGGACGCTGCCGCTGCCGCCGCCTCGGAGCTGCCGCTGCCGCTGCGCTGCGGCGGGAACAGCCCCGCCCCGGCCGTGGGACCGCCCCGCGCGTCACCGGGCACCACCCCCGCCCCGCCCCGGGGCCGCGCCACCGTAAAGGGGACACGGCCGGCGGTGGGGCCCGACGCGGTCTTGGGTGCTGCGCGCCCCTTCGCCGCTGCCTCACGGGAGCCCGGGTTTGGGATGTCCCTTCTGGCCACCGGCACCCCTGCGCGACCAGGGTTGCTCGGGGTGCCAGCCCTGGAACCAGCGCACATCTGGGTCACAGCTGGCGCTGGGTACCATTCCTCATCGCAACCTACAACTTCCTCGCGAGGGGAAGTGGAGGGCCAGGCACCGATCTCTTCTCTCTGGCGACCGGTGACAGGACCCGAGGGAATGGCCTGAAGCTGTGTCAGGGGAGGTTTTGGTTACATATCGGGAAAAGGTTTTTCACTCAGAGGGTGGTTGAGCACTGTGAAGTGGTCACAGCACCAAGTCCGACACGGTTCAAGAAGTATTTGGACAATGCTCTCAGACACATGGTGAGACTCTTGGGGATGGTTCTGTGCAGGGCCAGGAGTTGGACTTGATGATCCCTGTGGCTCCCTTCCAACTCAGAATATTTTGTGGTTCTGTGATAAGTGCCCTCAAGAGCTTCCTGTGCCCTCTTGGCTGGCCCCTGTATGGGCTGTTACTTTGCACGGAGCCATTTCAGGTGTGTTTCCTCCCTGTGCAGAGCAACAGCCATTTGTCCCCCGGGGTCTTTGCCAAACCGGCAGCCCCAGCACCTCCCACCAGAGCTCAGGGCACAGAGGTGTCTCTGTCAACAGCTCTCCCACCAAATGTTTCCGCAGCTGTTTTGCAGGACACTGTATATCTAACCCCTGCCATATGTGCCAGGCCACTGGGAATAAAGCACATTGCTGGTGTAAATCCATTTCCCACTGGCAAGAGAGCCACAAATGGCTTGAAACAGAGTATTTACACCCAAAAATGCTTGGGGTCCACAGTCAAGGTTTATGGTGGAGTGACAAGGGGGCAAAGGCTTAGTCAGTGGCTTCAGGATCTGGCCCCAACCTGACCCCTGGGTGATGCTGACTGATAGCAATTTGCTTCTGGGGGCATTTATCAGGAATTCTCCCACTGTGGCCTCAAAGTGTTGATCTAACTATATGTATCTACTATAGCACCCTATACCCCCAGTGCCTTGGACCATCTGGAGCAGCTTGCGAGAGGGATGAGCACCATTCCCATTGTGTGGGTTATCCAGGTCTTTCCACACTGTCTTTTACAGGAATCCCCTGCGCACAGGCTCCTGCCAAGAGGCACTGTGATAAGGAGACAGTGATGGGTACCGCTCAGGCACTGGGGCTCACACCATATCACCCCTCGGCCACTCCCCTCCATGCCCACACAGCCATCCCCCAGCTCCTGGAGCTCAAGCACCAGTTCCTGAAAAGGGAGCGGTTTGACATGTAATTCCTCTGCCAGGCCTCAAAGCCCGTGGGCTGTACCTCTCCTCCGGGGTTTTACAGGCTGTCCGGCAGCCAGGAGTGGAGGGAGCTGGGCAGGGCGGCATGAGATATGTCAGAACCGCAGCTGACTGGCTGAGCTCGTGCGGAGGCAAACCTCTCCTCAAAAAGTCAGTGTAAAACTATTCATGACTCTCACTTCTTTATAAACACAGGCAGTACCAGACAGCCCCTGGTGACAGCCACCATTCCCATCTTGGCCAGTGCATGGCTCTTCTGCAGAGGATACTCAGGCCCCCTGTGCTCCCACTGTGGGTGAGCTGGGAAAGCCAGCTGGTATTTACCAGTATTTAAAAGAGGAAGGTGGAAGGGATGGGGCTGAGTCAAGCCAAAAGATGCACTCTACTCTTGGCTGGGAATCCCTCTGTCCTGGGATCGGCACTGGCCCTGCTGTTGTCACACCCACATCTGGATGATGCCATCTCCCCGCCCAGCCTGGAGAAGGGAAGCCCCAAAGCCAAGCTTGGCATTTCTGCCCTTCCACAACTAGCAGGAACTGCCTGGAAGGGGGCTGTAAACAGGCCCCCCTCTGCCTACACAGATTTCAAACCCCTTCCTGACAGTGTTGGGTGACTGATGGACACCAGCAGGAGCAAGCTGCAGAAAACCTACCTGTGCTTTATAGCCTCTCCTCTACCAGGATCCAGCCTCATGTGGGTGCCCCAGCCCACACCAAGGAGCCACAGAGGTGGTTTGTAGCTGAGTCCTGGTGTGCATCCCTCAACCCTCCCAAGCCTTGGTTTTTCCAGGCACTGCCAGGCCATCATTCTCCCTCCTCAGTGGTCTCACTTTGGCAGACCGTAGCCCTGCCCTGGAGAGACCAGATTGGTATTTAGGGCTTTGGACCCTCCTGAGCTGATGGGAGAGGGAGGATGCTCGCAGAGATTTACAGAGCAGTTTGCTGTTGAAGTGACTCCATCCCTGCCTGCCACCACCCCATCCCAGGAACACTCCTGAAGGCTCTGGCACACAGCCCCATGCCTTCCCCAGAGGGCTGGAGCCCTCCAAAAGTAATACAAAGTGCTGTGCTTCTCGGGTCATTTATAACTCAATTAACCAGTCAGAGAACAGCCATCACTGCCCTTCTGTCCCCCTTCCATGTCAGCCTGGTGAGGTGGCTTAGTGTGATGGAGAAAGCTCCCTCCACCCTCCTCCATGTGATTAATGCACTGAAGGCTTTCACTGAAGACTGAGTTTAAGGATGTAAAGAATGTGCAGGGTGGCAGTAGCCTGTTTTGCAGCACTAAATCTGTCTGCTTGTGGCTATCTCCCATTCCTGGTTGGGGTGGAGGAGGAGGGAAAGAGCCCCATGGAGGAGGCACAGCACAGAGGTTCCCATGGCTGGTCACCCCCTGAGCCAGCCCAGGGCACACCACCAACATGCACCACTTGTGCCCATCCATCCCATGGTGTCACACTTGTCCCTCCCTCATTGTCACCTGCCTGCTCTGGCCTGGTACCCACTGGGAGAAGATGAATGTGTGGTGCATCTGCAGGGGAAACCTCCTGTCCTCTGACATTAATAAAAAGGGACCAGGAGCTGGGTGTTCAGTTTGGTCCCCACAGCACACAAAGCAGGTTCCCAGCCCCCCAGGTGCTGGGATCCAATGGCACCCATATTTGATAGTAGCAGCTGGGAACAGGGCTGGAATGGTGCGCTGGATGCAGGGATTGTGATGCCCTTGTTGGCCCCATGGGAGAGCTTTACCCTTGTGCAATGGGTGCTCAACTGAGGCTCCTCTTGGGCTACAATGCTGGGTTTTCTCCCTTCCTCCCCAAGCCTAAAGCATGGACCAAAGTGGATATTGAAGGCCAGCCAAGGGGAACTGCATGGGGTAGCAATGGAGTGGAGCTCCCCTTTGGCAAATCCAGGGTGGAATAACCCAATCTGAGGTTGAATGGCCAAATCCAGGGGTACACAGCCAGCCACCAGGCAGGAATGGTGCTTCAGGGCTCTCTGCCTTGGCTGGTGCTGATGGGTGCCGGTGAGTGCAGAGCAAGTCCGGCAGCTGCGGGACTGGAGCACAGGGAGCCGGACGAGGCCGAGGGCCGGTGCGGTTCCTTGCCTGGTGGGGTTTCTTTCTATGCAAATGCCTGGGAGCAGCTGCCCTGCCGGAGTGACTCATTTCCTGCTCTTGTGTCACATTCTGGTCAGGCCAGTTTGGCAAAGGCTTTCTTCTCTCCCTCTCTGGCTTCTCCTCCTTCTCTCCCCCACCGCCGAGGGCTGGGATGTGCATTTGCTCAGTCCCTGGCAGGATGAGGCAGGATTTTCAGGAAACTGCGTCAAAGCCACAAAACCTCCATATATATTAAAAAAAACCCCCAAACAACCAAACAAAAAAATCCAGCACAATTTTCTTTATTTTTTGGTTTTTTTTCTGAGCACAATGGAGTCTGGTGTCCAGACGGACTCCTCCGCTCTTCCTCCCGCTGGGGCAGCTCCTTCCACTGACACCCGGGGGATGGGACCTGGCAAAAAAGCTGTAAAAGTTTGCCCAGGGGCACAAAGGGAAAAAATGCAGCTTGGTCTCATTTTACCTTCTGCTGCCAGTTGGAGAGGTGCTGCCAGAGTCAGGCTGCCAGTGGGCAGCCTTTAACAGTGGACGGATGGTGAGAGCATCCAAGGGAGCCACCATCCCTGGGGTTTGCCCGGCATTTTTTATTCCTCGGCAGAGCTATGGGGTAGCCTCACCACTGTGGTCTAAAAAATATACTGGCCAGGGCTAAAAGGCATTCATCTTAGTGGAGTCAGGAAGGGACAGTAGCAAATTCTGGCAAACCTCAGCTTGACGGGTCTCCCACCACAGGTTGTCGGGGCAAGGCAAGGTGATGCTGGGAGTGAATTCCTCCAGCTGCTCCTACAGTCCATCCAGGCTGGCACTGCCCTAAGCCCAGGCTGTTCACAGGTAGAAAAGTCACTCTTCGAGGCATTTCCAATCTGATGTGTGTTGTAGTGGTGAGGCTGAGATTTACAGCCTCCCAGGTGGCCATGCAAGCCCTCCTGCCACAGGGCTCTCGCTCTGCTGTGTCACTGTCCTCTAGGTGCAGAGACACACACATGCACCCCTCTCCATCCCCACGGCCAGGGCAGAAAGCAGCAGCCCTTTGCTCCAAGCCTGTGGCTACCAGAGGCCCTGGTTCTGTCTCTGCACCAGCCCTTTCCCCAGTGCATCAAGCTCTGGCACAGCATCCCACACCATAGTGGGGCATCTCCCTGAGGGAAAAACGGAGCTCCTTAGTGCTGCCAGCCCACCAATGAGCTTGGGGATGTGAAAACGCCATCCCCAAATCTGATCATGGGAGACAGGGTGGAAGCAGGATATGATCCCACCATTCCCATCTGCAGTTCGGTTCAGTCACCCTCCCACAAGAAGGCCCCTTTGGTCCCTGCCCAGATCAAGGTGCAACCTTTGCAATCTCCACTCCAGAGCAATTTCTCAGCCTTCCTCTTCCTTTCCTGCATGCTCCCTGCAATTAAATTTGGCTGCAACCAAATGACTCAGTGCCACACACATGCTAACTCTCCCCCAACAGGCAGCTGCTGGGCTTTCCTTTGAAGGGCAGAACATTCAATGCTGCTGTGCCCCGTGTGACCCTCAAACCCGAAGCCCCAAAGCCCAGTGGCACCACTGAGTTCCAGTTTGGTTCAGCCAGGGGAAACTGAGGCAGGAGAGGGCAGGGGATCACTCCAGAGCTTCAGCCCATGCATTCATCACTGCTGGGGCTCAGCTTCCTCTCCAAAA